GTGTAAGAACCTAAGTGTGATGGTTCTTTAGAGAGAAAATGCCTGTGTTAGATGAGCTCTGGTCAGCTTTGGTGAGTTCAGCGATAATAAATCAACAGTGTATATATATATTTTTTAGTATAATAACTTTTTATTAGACATCTACAAGACTGTGGTATCTTGTAGCTTTTGACCAGGTTTATACAATCTCAATTTTTCAATAGTGCAACCTGTGCAAGCAAAAAAAGGGGAGGGGGGGAGGAAAACAAAAGGAAACAAAAAAACCAATTGTCCCCTCACTTGTTTTTATAAACATCTATTATAGGCGAAACAAAACTTACCCATATTATAGATAAGTGTCTATTCACATTTGTACAAGGTGTCTTTAAACAGAAACATGCATAAAACAAGATTATGTATTGATCAGTTGGCAAAAATATGGCCAGGAGCTTTCAGGAACCTAACCCCGCGTATCTCCTAGGAACAGTGGTTCAGTATTGGCTAATTCACTGTAGTGACTTTATAGAGCATAACTACCAGGAATTACAAGAATTGACCATATTTCTTTTATTTGTATATTAAGTAGACTATGCTCTTATAAGAGCATTGTTTCCTAGAAGTATCTATATTCCTCAACCTGTTTTGAGTGAACAAATTATCAGCAGTGATTTCATCACAAAAATCCATATTTACAACAAAACTATTTATTTCAAATACAAAAAAATTCTTTTGTGTTTAATTTTTTTTCAATTTGAAACTCTGTATATTCAATGATTCCACTACGCAGCTGGTATTTTTTGGGCTGAATTCCTGGCACAAATGACAGAGTACTATATCTTTTATAATGTTATGTTTTAATTGTGAAAATCTTTATACTAAGATTTTATTAAAACTTTAATAAGAAATCTGAAGATTGTATACTTTGAAGTCAGATTTTGATTGATTCAGTTCAAACACCTATTTTAAAGAATTTTGAAATCATGTAAGACCCCAGCATGAAACACTGTCATAATTTATATCCTTTAGAGCTGGATGTTGACACATTACTAATAATAACACAAGAATCTGTTTCATGCCATTGTTATTGGCACTATCATAATACATGCTGAGGTTTTAAATTTTTTGTGGAACATAATACAGGCTTTTTTATTTTTCAGGTTTGGGTTTGGTTGGTTGGTTTGGCCATCAATATAAAAGAATTGCGTTTATGAGCAAAAGAATAACCATGGCTGAAATATCAAGTAACTAAAGGAGATGAAGAATTGTGTGTATCAATATGAACAAATGAGTTTATTCAGCAGGCATAACATCTGCACAACTGAAGTATCATTAAATTTACCAAGTTCTTCTCATTTTCATTTTATGAAAATATGATCTTGTCACAACAAATACCTAATATTTTTGTAGCTGTGGAATGAACTTTATATGCATTATCTCATTCCCAATACAACAGCCTTTTGAACTACAGATATTGTTATTATGTAATATGCAAATTATCACATTACATATGAAGAAACTAAAGCTTAGAATAGTCGAATTCCCCAAGATCCTGTAAGTTATAACCAGTGGAGTCAGAATTTAAACTCAAGTCTGTTCGATTTCAGAGTCCACAACATTGTGCTCCCTCCATGACTTACTCTGCAGCTTCTGCAATAGATATCATGTCGTTTTGAGAGTTTTATCACTTTTCTGACAGTTCCACCCACATTCCACATCACTGTTACCCTAAGGAGGATGGGGATGGAACTCTATAAACACCCTTTCCTTTCCCAAAGCATAAATGTATGATATTAATCTTCCTCAAGGGGCTTATCATACTCTGTTTTTGCCCAGTATGAAGAACTGCTTTAAAGGGAAAGGTACATTCCAAAAGGGCAATTTGTGGTATTATTCATCAGTAGGAGAATAGAAAATGCAGTTTCCTTTGAATTATGTGTACATGAACCTCAAACTTCCACCCTCCCCATCAAGTTTTTTTTCCCCCCTCCAAGAGCCAGCTGCTAGCTTTACCTCTTTCTACCTGCCGGATACTTTCTAAATCACATTATCCAGTGCTCAATTTAAGTGATTCCCCATTAAAGTCCAGAGCCTAGGGAAATCACCCTGATTCTGTGTTCCCTAGCAACATCCCTGAGAATAACAACAGCTGCTTAACAGCTGCTTAACCAGAAAGATGCTGCAGGGGAAATACACAGAAATTGATATTAAATGCTTTAAATCTTGAGACTTCAAACATTATAGTTACCATGTTGTATTATTTACCTTCAGTGGTACAAAAACAAAAGAGAAAAATAAATCTGATCATCAAAAAAGGGACAAGATATGCTAAATGACCTTAGCAAGCAATGTGCTTCTAGATATTTTCTTGCAATGATAAACAGGGAAGTAGCCATGATGGAAATAAAATACCTTTCTTTATGATTTTGAATCTTAAAATGTTAAACTTGTGTCAATTAAATTTTACTTACATTGTAATATGAAATGGCTTTGTTTAAACATTTAGCAAACTTAAAATTCCTTATAAATTTTTGTTGATAATCTTTACTTTTTCTGTTAATCATTATTACTTTCTCTGTACTTTGCCTTTTCCAGAATGTCAAATAATTGGAATCATACATTATGTAGCCTTTTCAGATCATTTTCTTTCTCTTAGTAATACGCATTTTAAGTTTCCTCCCTGTCTTTTCATGGCTTCATAGCTCAGTTCTTTTAGTTCTAAATATTTCACTGTATGTATGTACTACAGTTCATCCATTGACCTATTGAAGAATATCTTGGTTGCTTACAAGTTTTGTAATTAGAATAAAGATGTTACAAACATTTGTGTATAGATTTTTATGTGGACTAAGTTTTTGACTTATTTGGGTAAATACCAGGGATCACAAATGCCAGATCATATGGTAAAAGAAACTGCCAAACTGTTTTCCAAAGTGACTGTACTATTTTGCATTCCCACACCTTTGCCCGCACTTGGTGTTGTCAGTGTTTTGGATTTCAAGCATTCTAATATATGTGTAGTATTTATTATCTCATTGTTTTGATTTGAGATTGTAGAATAACATATGATGTGGAGTGTCTTTTCATATGCTTATTTACTACCTATAAATCTTTTTTGGTTAGACATCTGTTGATCTTTTGCAAATTTTTAAGTGGGTTGTTTTCTTACTGTTGAATTTTAAGAGTTCTTTGTATATTTTAGATTCCAGTCCTTTGTCAGATAAGTGTTTTGCACATATTTTCTCTGGCTCTGTGTCTTGTCTTTTCAATCTTTTAATATCCTATATTAAAAATACAAATTTATTATAGCCTAATCACTAAGAACTGCTACCATTATTGTGGTGTGTATGTTAGGGATAAAAGATTATTTTTTGTGGTTTCTTTGTAAAAATTAATTTCCCCACATTTAAAAACTATTAATATGTTCCTTCTCTTTGAACTCCCCATCCCTTTATACCTTAAGCTCTTGGGATTCCAAGCAGTTCACTGTAAAGAAGAGTGAAAAATTATCCTGGACTGTTTTTCTGTTCTGATCAACAAGTAACCCATTAGAGTGGTCATTATCCAAATAATAGCCAATAATTCAGTAAATATACATGTGGAACATACCTTTTTGAATACTGAAAAAATATATCTTTGACATTCTTTGAAATTCCTAATAATTTTTTAAAATTTCTAGTCACCTCTGGAGTTTTTTTTTTCCTTTCTTTTTTTGTTAGTTCTCATTATAAACAGTTAATTAAAACTATTTTATAGATAGCCCATGCTATGAAATTTATTTTAATGATTTTATATGAAAATCAATCCTCCACATTTTTAAATTGCATGCACGCACATATTAGTAGTCAACTCAGATTTATAAAACAAGAATATTTTGATTGGAAAAGAGATCATGGAAGTATCTATATTAGTTAAAAGCTCTTCCTGATTTCATGTTTCTCTATGAATTTATTTGCCTAGAAAAAGTTACTTATTTTAAAGCCAAGATTGGGGTGCCTGGGTGGCTCAGTCGTTAATCGTCTGCCTTCGGCTCAGGTCATGATCCTAGGGTCCTGGGATCGAACCCTGCATTGGGCTCCCTGCTCAGCGGGAAGCCTGCTTCTCCCTCTCCTGCTCTCCCTGCTTGTGTTCCTTCTCACGCCGTCTCTGTCTCTCTCTCTGTCAAATAAATAAATAAAATCCTTTAAAAAAAAAAAAAGCCAAGATCAAATAGGAAGTCTAGGCCAGTAGTTTCCTAATATCTGTATACTAGGCAGTCCAATATTTCTTAACAGATAAATGTAGAGCCGCTCTGGTTGGAGGTCAAATGAAGGTAGAAGAGACTGGAATATGCTCTCTTCTACCTTTTCCCAGGTACCTTTGAGGAATCCACAGGGCTATATGGAGAAGAACTGGAAAATTAGTCTAAATTATGATTTTTATTTAAAGCAACAACAAAACCAAATAGTCATTACTAAGCTATTTATCATGGAGTTCTAGGTGTCTAATTTATAAGGTTTCTGAATTAGACTTCAGGGCCTATGTTACATTTTATTACAGTCTACAACTTAAGTGTAGACTGGCAAGAATTAAAGGAAAAGCCTGTTTCACAGCTGTTATGCATCTGGGAGTTTGGTTAAAAGGGGCTAGCTTAGCTTAGCCTGAGTCGTGATAAAAAGCAGGGTCTAGAGGCCTTTTAACTAAAGTCCTGTGCTCTGATCAGAGCTGTATTTAATACTGGCCCATAAGTCCACATAATTATAATTTGTAAGAGTCTTTAGGACATCAGTAACTTTTAAATCTTACCATGTGAAAAATGATTATGTCACCTGTGGACTTTAAAAGTAGTTAGCAAACTGGGATAAAGGTGATGATCAAATCAAAGATTTCTGCAACTTTCTCTGTCCAAGTTTTGTACTTAGGATGTTCCAGCTATTCTTTGTAATATACCACTCCTTTTAATGTGCTTTAATGAGGAATGTTAATTCTGGTAGATTAATGCTTCGTGTCACAGTTGACCTTACCACATTCTGGCTTTCTCCCAGGCTTGCAGATGGGTCAGGGGCTGTGGAGAGTGGCCAGAAACCAGCAGCTACAGCAAGAAGGTTATAGTGAGCAAGGCTACCTCAGCAGAGAGCAGAGCAGGAGGATGGCTGCCAACAACATTTCTAACACCAGTCAGCGTAAACAAGTCCAAGGAGGCATTGATCTATATCATCTTTTGAAGGCACGGAAATCTAAAGAACAAGAAGGATTCATTAATTTGGAAATGTTGCCCCCTGAGCTAAGCTTTACCATCTTGTCCTACCTGAATGCAACTGACCTCTGCTTAGCTTCATGTGTTTGGCAGGACCTTGCAAATGATGAACTTCTCTGGCAAGGGTAAGTCCATCCTAGCATCTTTAATTCAGATATCTCTAAACACAATCATGCTTAAATGTTATTTTTATAATATATATATAATATATATATCATGTATATGTATATAAATGTATTATGATGTATTTCTTTTTAACCTTGGTTTGTATTTTGACTTGTTCTTTATTAAAACCCAGAAAGATAATGAGTCATCATCACAGTCAAATTTGATACTGGGAAAAGAAGGACCGTATAAAGGAAAATGACTTTACAGTTAGAAGAGAAGTTACCAATGAAGAGGTGTCAGTTTATTCTAGAAATACAAGTTGTTGGGGTGTCTGCCTGCGTCAGTCGGTAGAGCATGCAACTAACTCTTGATCTCAGGGTTGTAAGTTTGAGCTGCACATTAGATGTAGAGATTACCTAAAAAAATAATAAAATATCTAAAAAAACATACAAGTTAAGTGAGAATTTATAATCCAAAACTTAAAGTGTTCGCACCCCTGGTAGTTTGTGCTTCCCAAATGAAGATTGTGTGCTTACTAATTTATATACTTCTATCACAGAGGCGCTTGTTAATATAAACTGGTGAATGTTTCATCTACTTATTTTTTCTAACCAACATTTCATCAATGAAGTAGGAAAATAGTAGAATGAAAGGAGATAATCTGCTTGCTGAAGTAAAAGTACACTATAGAAATTATAGCCAGTGATTCTATCAGTTTAAATTTAGCCTATAAATTTAGAAATGTTTAGAATAGAATCCATGTAACTTCAGGTACTTCTTAAATAACATCATATACTTGAGTTGTAAATATGTTACCAAACTTACAAGAATCTTTGGATCTTGAACTTTGTAGTATCTAAGGTTTATTTAAATCTCATTTCTAGTGATTTAAAACATGTCTAAAAACAAAGGTCTTTTTGTGACTTTAAATAATTTCTAAATGAAAATCTAATTGAGAGAATTCATAAATTATCCAAATAACCAAACTTTAGTAAAAATGTATTACTAACAATATTTCTAATGCAGGCTTTCTGATGCTACAGAATTACAGTATTAAATATATAGTTAATTTCTCAACATCTAAATAAAGAAAAATCATAAGCATCACCCTGTTACTCTCTCATTATCTTGTTATAGTGAAGGTACTGTGAAAGTGAGAGGAACTTAGTGTTTATGGTTATTAATTTCTTAATCGGTAAAAGAAGAAATAAAAATACTTTAACACTGGCTCATTATTTGTTTAAAATTTCTGCATTTTAGTATTACCAGAAAACTTAATTTGTAATCCTATATTTGAACTCTGAAAAAAAAGTTCATTTCTAAGCTTATCTGAACTCAATCAAAATGTCCTCTTTATCTGGGATTTAAATCTGGGTGTGCATTTCTGAAAGAAATGCTTCCTTTATTGTTACCACATAATTATGTCTATTTTTATGACACTTGTTTTTTTTCCTTAGTGATAAATTGCTTCTATTTTAAATTGAAGGCCAGCTTAGTTTTTATTTTAACTTCAGATGTGTCGAATACTTTTTAATGTTGAGAGGTTCTGTTATTTTCACATAGCTCAGTAATAAAAGTCAAAAGCTATAGGACTAAAGGTTCTGCTAAAATATTGATAATTTTCTAAACAAACTCCTAAACCACTATTTTAGAATCAGGGATTTCATTTGGTTAGTAAAAATAATGCAAGGATATAAATATTAAGAAGATATTCTCATTTAATTATATATTTTACCCACTACCCTCACAATTTTTGATGTTACAAGGCTGAGACAGTAACTTTCTTGTTACCCTATACATTGTATGTGTGTGACATGAAATTTGAGTCAAAAATCAGTAATTAATATCAGAAAATGAAACTATTTTAATATCACTACAAGTAGGTGTTTTTGAACACACAATTTCAGATAATTTTGAGATAGTCATTAAAAGTGCACTAAATTCTCTATCTCTAGAGTAATGCACTTATATTTAATGATCTGTGGTCTAATGATCCAGAATTTCTAGGCATTATAATAAGATAAAATGAGATAAAACTTTAGCTTTCAAATAATAACCAGTAGCTAATGCCTTTGTAGAGAGTTGGACACAACTATCCCAAACTGCAAAAATCAGTATTTTTTTATTATGTTAATCACCATACATTACATCATTAGTTCTTGATGTAGTGTTCCATGATTCATTGTTTGCATATAACACCCAGTGCTCCATTCAGTATGTGCCCTCTTTAATACCCATCACCAGACTAACCCATCCCCCCACCCCCCTCCCCTCTAGAACCCTCAGTTTGTTTCTCAGAGTCCATAGTCTCTCATGGTTCGTCTCCCCCTCTGATTTCAGTCCATAGTCTCTCATGGTTCGTCTCCCCCTCCGATTTCAATATGTTTTAATATGAACTATTAGCATCTTAGGTTTCACAGAATTTTTAAACAATCATGTATCACTGTGATGGTAAAAAAACAGTATTTTGAAGCAGCATCTTAGAACAGCTACTCTTAATGTCATACGCAGCTTTTGATGTATGTACTGAAGTTAATAGCATAATTTCTATGTTTATTTTGCCTGTTATCAATATGTATATCGTTAAAAAAAAAACAACAAAGTTCTCTGCCTACCTAGCAATCTTTGCCTCCATTCAACTTTACTTTGCAATAGATCATAGTTACTTAATCCTGTTTAGCTTCTTGGTTAAGATTTCTAGTTCTGGAGTAAGACTCCTTGGGTTCAAGTCAACTCTTTTATCTTTTACTGTGTATGTGTCTCTTTATCTTTAGCACCAACATCAGAGCATTGTTGTAAAGATTAAAAGCAAGTTAATACTAGTATAATGTTTTAAATAGTGCCTAACATCTAGTAAGCACTGGGTAAATGTTATACGTTAATAGCTATCATTGCTATTATTAGTAATATTTTCTATTTAACTTCAAATAGTACTCATGAATATTATTAATCTTCAACTCGTGTTTATTTTTTTATTCATTTTTTTTAAAGAAGGCCCTTTAATTTTTTTTTGAAGATTTTTATTTATTTATTTAACAGAGATAGAGGGAGAGCTTAAGTAGGCAGAGCGGCAGACAGCGGGGAGAGGGAGAAGCAGGCTCTCCGCCGAGCAGGGAGCCCGATGCGGGGCTTGATCCCAGGACCCTGGGATTATGACCTGAGCCGAAGGCAGCTGCTTAACCGACTGAGCCACCCAGGCACCCCTCAACTCGTGTTTATTAAGTACTATCAGAATTGCTAAATTGAAAGCATTTGTCGATCATACTCTAGTAAACAAATAAAAACAAGTACAGAATTAAACATTTTCAGCTTTAGAGCTGTAAATTTCATGTTACTATTTTATCATGTGTATACATGTTTAACTTAGGAAATTAAATATAGTAATGTTTTCTTGTCTGATTTTATATTTTATAGGTTATGTAAATCCACTTGGGGTCACTGTTCCATATATAATAAGAACCCACCTCTAGGATTTTCTTTCAGAAAATTGTATATGCAGCTGGATGAAGGCAGCCTCACCTTTAATGCTAACCCAGAGGAGGTAAGTGAAGAATGTGAATATTTGAAATAGTTGAACTTTACTACTATCTTACTGCAGTTTTCCGATGTAATAAACTTGCAAGTAAAGTAACAAGTCATTGAATATTCCTTTTCAGTGAAGAAATCACTGAGAAGCCCACTAAGTAAAGTTAATGCTATATAACAGTCATTTCTCTTTACCTTACCAACTCACATTTTAAATCTTTCTACCTACTCATGTTGTATGGCAGCTTCCATGACATATAGGCAGTCCTCTACTGGACCTGATTAAAATATGACCACATTGTATGTGGAGAGCACAGAATATGTTCATCAAATTTTATCTGCAGCATTTTCTTCCTGTTTTATTTTTCTATTTAGTAACAATGCTACTTTTATCAGAGATAGTCACAAAGGACATTGTTCATTTGTGACACATCAAAATGTTGTCTTCTTAATGCCTTTAACAGTCCATGTTGCCCTAGAAACTGCTTATAGATTGTCATAAAACTGAATAATTTTATCAAAAAATCAAAATATGAAGACCGTTCTTTCACTATTTTATTTTCCCTATTCTCATTTTTATATATATCCTAGAAAGGTACAGATTCCCAGAAATGTTGTTTGTTTTTTTTTTCCTCAGAAATGTTTAAATGTCTGCTAGGCTTATTCTTAGAAACCTAATAGAAATTATACAGCACTCAGAACTACTACTTCTAGGTGAATTCTTTTCTGTGGAAAAATTTAACTGGCAGTTATTTTAATTTAATTTTCAAAAACCAACTTTTTTTCATTTGTTGTAGAGGTATTAAGGACTATTTAAATTATGCAGTCAAATATTTTTTTAAAATATCTTGACTTTTGCTATGTTATAATTAAAAACCTGTTTCCCCCATGTAAAATATTTGAATATTAAACAAATACTGATTTTATAAATATGCATGTAATATATATGACATTTTAAAAATTAAATTGATTTTTACTTATTACATATGATTTCTTAACTTTTCCTTGTATACAATTAAAAAATATAACACCATTGCAAAGCTTTACTGATACACCATCCATTATCAGTTAAGCCTTAGCCCCACAAATATAACAAAATATATATATTATAAAGACTGGTATAAATATTTAAGAAATTTGTTCTCTCACTACTGTTTAGTAAGAGTTTTGACGTTCAGATTGAATAGAGGACTGGGTACTTAATTTGGAAGGCAAATGAATAGATAAACTGTCAAATTTAGGTTTTGTAACTTATCCCTTAATTGTAAATTTTTTCTGATGCATTTTATTATAAACTACACTTGATTTTACTTTATTTTTGGTCAAATCCAAGTTCTGTTCCTTCCAAATATATAGCAATAGTAAGCATGTCACTTTTTGATCTTGCACTACGGCATAGCTACTCTGTACAAGAGATTCTTCTACACTTACATGTTTGAAGAATGGCATGGTTTCAAAGACTTCATTATTCTGTTTATTAGAATTTGACATTACTTGTAGCTAATTAAAACAGTTCATATGACAAACTTTATAATAACTTTATAATAAGATACATAAATTGCATTAGTCTAATGATGATTACTGGAGAACCTGGTACAGTAAATTACTTTAGATACATAAGGAAAGGCAGCTATTACAAGCCCCAGTCTTATTATGCCCAGTTTATCAAGGCATTCTGTTTCCTGTCATGAATTATACTGATAATGAGCAAAACTGTCATCTTTAATTCATATCACTTGCAAATGTTACATTCTAAGGAAAGTATAACTTGGTAAGTACTGAGTTGTAGATTTACAGAGTCAGAAAAGTTGGATGTAACTGCTGATATTGATTATGGTAAGTAGTCATTCCTTGCTAAAAGAGTACCAGTTTTTAAAACAAATTATAAAGCCATCATTTTTATGCAAAGATGGAACCACAGATAGGCCCTCATATACTAGAATATGATATGGATAGTTTTAAATATCTAAATTGGAAAAGCTAGATGTCAAAATTTGTTTCCATCTTTGCTACACATATCAGACTAGAGTTCTTGTTACACCTCCTCTACTGTGTTTGGAGGGGTGGGCAGAGAAAAAAAAATAAAATTAAAAGACCTCTTCTTATCTAACAAAACTTAAAAAAAAATTTTTAAGTTGAATGTTTTCTAAGAGAGGGGATTGAAGTTATGAATTAAAATAAGATTTTTAGATTTTCAGATTTTACTTATCCATCCTACCTTCCATTGTTACTGAGAGTTGGCTGTATTTTCTTCTTATTCACTCCCTTGCCTGACTTAAAGATATCCTAGAGCATTCCAGAAGTGTTGAATTCACTATTCTGAAAGGGGCACACAGTGCTGTCAAGAGGCATAGAGCTGAACCTTTCAGAGTGACTTGTGGTTCCAGAATTCTGATTCTATGCTTTTATGAACATCAGTAGCTTAGCAAGTGTGATCTGATAGCAAAATAGAATCCTATATTTACCAGAAGGCACCTAGGTTATAAATAGGCAAAGAAGGACATTGAAATAAATACACTTGTAGATGCAGAGAAATGAGGGAAAGTATTTTAACAACTATATTCTATACTTTATTTCATTGACTAATACAAATAATAGCAACTTGGTTGTCTATGCAAGTCAAGGCTTCAGAATTAAAATCATGTAATTGAAAGAGTTATCCTAATAGATGTTTTTATATAGAACTTATCTGTATGAGTCATACTTTAGCCAGGTCTTAGAATGACTCTTGCCAAGATTTTTGAGCACTAGAAATCAGGAAGTACTTTTTGGAGGTTGATATCCACCCCCCGCAATTGAAGCACTATCATCAGATGTGTTATTTTGGGTCCATTTAAGCCTGAGAAGTAAATTAGTTTTGATAATATGTGTAAATATAAGTGTCATTTATTGTAACTACCTGAGGTCAGATGTGTATAATTGTTCAGTATTATAAAAAGTCTACTTTTCCATAATTTCTAGTTCTGTACTTATCATTTTGATAGCAAGCATCATTAAAATATTATAAAAATGAGAATACTTACAGCCACAGGGAACAAGATTCTCCAAAGGACACCGTTCATGTCACGGATATGGGTAACCAAGCTCCACAGCGGCTGCTGGCAATGGCTCATGGGGTGGGGGAGAACTTCCGCACAGCCTGTGGTACGATTCTCTAGCACGCTGTTGTTATCTGCATGACCTTGTGATCTCAGCTGTATGTCAAGTCTTGATCTTGTGCATGAGCTTGTGTACTTTGTGGCAGGTGACCACATTCTAGTTGAGGAATGTGCTAAAAACCATCTCTTTACGTTAGGCTGTATTTCCCCTGCATGTACAAGTTACGTGTGTTGATTTTATTCTGCTAGCCATATTGTAATAAAGTAATTTAACTTCTCAACCGACTAGCTATATTCCCTGAACTCCATTTAGTATGAAACATTTTCTCTTCTTAGTTATTTTTAAATTTGGAGTCTAAAAAATTGGGAACAGACATGGTTTAATTTCAATATGTTATAGGTTTTATTTTTGTTTGTGTAAATATGTTTTAAAAAATGTTATTGAATAATATTCTTGGGAGGCCTGGGTGGCTCAGTCAGTTGAGCATCAGACTCTTGGTTTCAGCTCAGGTCATGATCTCAGGCTCTATGGGATTGAGCCCCTCAGCAGGGAGTCTGCTGGAGAGTCTTCCTCCGCCCCCCCCCACCATGCTCACATGCACTCGCTCTCTCTCAAATAAATAAATAAATCTTTAAAAAAATAATAATATTCCCATGTGGGTCAGTAAAAGCAGTCTTTTAACTATATAAGCACAATTTTCTTGCCTTCATAAAGGAAGACCCACATGCATGCATACAATGTTATGCATAATTATTAGATTGATCTGGGATAGAATCTATTATGAGAAATATTTTAAATTGGACTTGTACACACATTTTAGATGGAAATGCATAAGCAATTTATTTTTGTGATGATGTATTTTTGTTGTTGGACCAGCTAAAATATAAATGAGAAATTTGTAGTTCTCCATTTTAAAAAGGAACTCAGGAGTTTATACTGAGATATTAAATCTTACTGACTCTCTGCTCCTGTATATAGCAACAAAATGTTCATTACCATTACTTCATAGCATAGCAACAGTGATGAAAAAACTTTTATTTTTATTCCCAGGGATAGAAAATCCTGATTGGTATCATCAGAATGTGCAGATAATCATTTTCCAAATGTGTTCTTTGGAATCATTATTCCTCAGGATAAAGGACATAGTCAAAGAAGTTCCCAAGTCTAATAAATTTGACCATGATAGGTTATGATTAGTTGGCTTATTTAAAGAATAACTTTTCAAAGTCTTTAATACACTGATGCACATTGTATGTGCTGTATGTAGTATCATTCAAATTTATTTGATATAGTGTTAAATTTATCTGACAGTGTCTTTTTCTTTTGTTTTTTCCTTTGGTAAAGTAAAATTCCAGGGGACACGTTCTGTGATATGCTAGTATAGAGTATCTGTATCTTAACTATGTGTAAATAGATGTGTTCCTAAATGGATAGACAGCTAGCTTGACTACCCTGTTATTCACTAACAGTTATCTGATGTCTGTTTTACCAGTAATCCTTTTTCTTTTGAAAGTCTATGAATTTATATTTGTTCTCTTTCTTTTTGTCTGATAGTATTTTTAAAAAATTAAAACTGAGAGTTGTGCCTTGAAAGACTGAGAGATTTATGAATGTTCTATATTTTGATTATCATCTAATTTGTTAAGGAAAATGTTACTTTGTAAAATAAAACCTGATAGAAATATTGAATTCAAATAATTACCTTTAGACATTGATACAAGTATTCATATCAAATAATTTAAACAGCTCATTTATCATTACATCCTTGATATCTCATTCTCTATACTAACTCTGTTATCTCTTGCAACACGGGTATTTTCAGCGAAGGCTGACAGGCCACTAAGATGCTTTTAAGTTTGGCAAATGTACTGCCCACTTTTCCCTGTATGTATCACATAGGGTGTTTGGGCTGGAATG